CCTGTCCGTGGGCGCGGGGAGCGTGGACGCCGCCGAGCCGAGGCCGGAGGCGCGGAGGACTCGCCTGGCAGTTGCCGTGGCCGCGCGCACTTCCTGCTCTACGGGCTGGGCATCGTGGACCGGGGCTGGGGCGCGCAGACCTTCTCGCGCTCGAGGGCGCGAGTCTGGTGCTTAGTGCGCGGGTTTCACAGCCGAGGCCGGAGGCGCGAACCCCCTGGCCCCGAGGGTCTGCCCTTGGGCGCTGGGCGAGGGCCCCTGGCCGGGGCTTGTCCCCTGCTCTCTGCACTGCATGGACCTGATTGTTTCGGTTTCCCCTGCGGGGAGCACTGACCCCTAATTTCAGCTTCACTCACTCACCCTTCAACATCCAGTTCACACTTCTTCCTCTTGGGACCCTTTCTTCCCTCCCCCTCAACCCTTTTCTTTGAACCTTAAGGGTTCTTTTATTTATTTATTTTTAAAGATTTATTTATTCATACAGAACTGGGGTACAGGCCAGAGGTGCAGGGGCAGTGAGAGGATTCGCCAGAGACAGTGGGGAGCAGAACACGCAGATAGGCCTTGTGCAGTGCTGATGGGAGCAGCAGACAGAAGTCTGCTGTGCCTTGTGGGTCGGCCCCCCTGCCAGGGATCAAACTCGTGGTGAAGCAGGTGAAGCGATGCAGCCAGCTTCATAGTGCTGTGCTTTAACCTGTTGTGTCACTAGGGAGGGCTCCTTAAGGATTCTTTTATAATGTGACTGCGGGAGAGCCTTGAAAGTAAACGTGGTCCTGTCATCTGCATTGGTCATCGTCATATTGCCTTGACACCAAGGCTGTGACCTACTGTTAGGTAGATGCCCAGTGAATGACTTCTGGTTTACCACTCAGGTTAGAAGGAAGCTTTCATGAAAAAGGATTCCTCCCTGTTAAAATAGGAAAAGGCAGGCTTAAACTTCCTGAGCCAAATAGCTCGTAAAAAGTCTGGTCATAGGCAAAATGGTAAAATTGGTGAATTTTCTCAATTATTTGTGAAAGCAGAAGTTATGGGTTCAGTTTCTATGGCTAGAAATAGTGAAGCCCAGCAGATTTCCAGGAAGATAATTGACAGCATTGAGTGTGAGTAGAACTGGACAAAGTAGGACTTGCTTTTACATTCCTCTGCGTTGTCTTCACAATTCCTTGGAGATTTGGGACATGAGCTCTGTGACACACTGTGTGGAAAGGGGGAAAATGAGGCAGGATGGCCTGAGAATCTGGGCATTGGTTCTGGTATCCCAAGCCCTCACTGGAAGGTCTAGGGAAGATGATGGCGCACTACAGTTGCAGGCCCAGCAGGGCACCCTCCTCTTTGTATTTTCACATTTTGATCATATTTTTTTTAAGATATGTCCGTTACATGTTAAATTAAATACCTTAAAAATAACTTTCAAAACCAAATAATGCGGTTTTATGAGAAAATCATGCCATTTATAGATCATTTATAGCAGCTTTCAGCTACAGGGCACAGCACTTTATTTGCTGCGGGGGTGGGATGGCCACAAAATCCTAAAATATTTGCTCTGTGGGTTTTTACAGAGAACATCTGCCGACCTGGCCTAGGGTCTAGCTTTGTGAGTGAAACTGGAAAAGATCTGTACTGATTTGCACATACCTGTTTCAAAATGCTTACTTGTAGAGTGTGGGATTCTGGCTGCTTATAATGCTGTCCACGATTTGTAAATACAAACCCAATCCTGCTCTGGGCACAAACTGTCCTTTGGTGTAATATTGCTAGGGCCTGCAGTCGGGGAGGTGGGATTGGGCACAAGTATGTGCGTTGCTGTGTCTACTTGCTCTGAGTTAGTTTTCCAGCTCCAGTGACATCAGGTGGAGTGGTGGGGGCCAGTCCTACAGTGAGAGACCAGGCTCGACCTGGGATGTGCCTGAGTACAGGTGTTCAGAAGAATGATAACAAGCTTGGGGGGTGGGAGTTGGGGAGCAGATGTCACAAATTTCTGACCAGAATGGAGGCCTGCTCACTCATGAATAACTGTCTTTGTCTAATTCATAAAAAGCCAGCTTGTTTCTTTAGGGTGGTAACTCACTGTCTTCATAGATTGTGGCCTGAATAAAGTGTACCCTAAAGATTCAAATTCTGTCTCTGCTTAGTGGCATTTGGTGGTGATAGGCAGCCTGAGCCCCAAATTCCAATTACATTACCTTGATAATGTGAGTAATGTGTGTATACATTTTGTTTGAAGTTTACTTTTGTCCCATGCCCTGTAATACATTTCTATTTGAAACTTTCAAATTTATTTACATTTTTTTTGGATTGCAGAACATTTTTGTACTTTGGAAACTATCATGGTAGAACAGTTCAAATTGGGTAACTTACTGGGAAAGTAATTCTTCTGACTGCAAGTGAATTACCAACTTGTCTTTATCTGTTGTGTTTGGAACGTTTACTTACTCACCGGGGGTTATAATTTGCCCTCACAGATTCTTCTCTCCCTGTAACAGTTTTCATCCAGGTAGTACTGTATATTTGAGTATTGCTTTGCCAAATAATTTCTGGGGTATAATATTTCAAGCAGCTCTGTGAGGTAGGTAGGGTAGAAATCATTACCAAGCTCCAACTTCCCTTTGCTGTCACGTAGGAACATGGAGGCCCAGGGAACTTGGGTGATTCTGTCCTGGTTACATGGGCACCTGGCGACAGCAACAGCGCTGGTGTCTCATAGCTGTTAGTAAGTGGATTGACTCTTTATTCTTTTTTTAAAGATTTATTTATTTGTGCATACGGAACTGGGGTACAGGCCAGAGGCTCAGGGGCGGTGAGAGGCTTCACCAGCGACAGAGTGGGTTGCAGAACAGGCCGACTGACGAAGCCCACTGCTGAGGGGAGCAGCGGGCGGGTCAGGAGAGGTCTGCCGCCCCATGTGGGTCACCTCTGGGGCAGGCGGGAATCGAACTCATGCTGCAGTGGCTTAAGCCTCTTAGTGCTGTGCTTTAACCCGCTGTGCCACCAGGGAGGGCCCAATATTCTTGTAATTTGTTAGGGAAGCGTGCATTTGAACAAATACTGAGAGATGGAAGAGTATACATTTCTGCTTATCCATGGGATGTGGACAACATTTTGCATCTTGTAGGATTTTTGTAAGAATCAGAGGTTCTGTATGAGTATGGAGCCCAGAGGCAGGGAGAGAGTGAGCACTTTGCAAATGGTGGATCTTATTTTTCCCCAGGACTATAGGGTTATTTTAATTTTTTGATTAGAATATACTATTCTTCATTTTTCTTCTGTGGAAAATAAGTTTAAAAACCATTATCTCTTCACTGTGATTATAGTTTTCTTTATACCCCAAGGAAGCTAACCATAAGGGAACAAGTAAACTCAATACAATGGCATCAAAGGCAAATACAGTGCTGCTTTAGAGTTCATTTTTCAAATCTTTTTTTATTGTAGTGGTATCATTTACTCTGGCAAATTCATATCCCAATTGAAAATACCCCAAAGCAAATAAAACTTTGTCATAAATTCAAGTACTATATATTAAAATGTACATGTTATACACACAAGAGCTGCATAGTAGAATTACTATAACAAGCAGTTACATTCATGACGCCCAGTGCTAAATGTTTGACACTGCATACAGGTGACACGTATAGGCTGCATTACTGTGATCGTTGTAGCGGAGAACGGTACAATAGCTTATGTGGCTGCTTTAGTATAATAGCTTAGATGACTGCAGTTTTTCAAAGCTTTAATAAAGCTAGTAGCATTTAACTACTATTGACTGAAAACACTCATGGGGAGGATGTATTTTAGGTCAGATGCTGTTACAAGAATAAGCACTTAACATGCTGTGGTACCCTTGACAAAACAAAATCATCTCTTTTACTAAATAGGGTAAGCTAGGCTCAAAGGAATCTGAATTGGAAGAACATTTAAGATTTTATATCCCTGTATTGTGTTTTAACATTTTCTTCAGGTTCATTTGTTTTCTTAACCTGGTTGAAATAAAGGCAAGAAAAAGTTTGCAAAGGCTGTGCTGAAATGCTAACACAAGTAGCTATAGCCCTTAGATGACACTTGAGCTGGGAGAAAAGTATCAGGAGTTGTTCTCGACAGTTTTTTTCTGCTTAGAAAAAAATTAATAGCCTATAAATTTCTAATGTTTTAAACAAGTATTTATTATTTAAAGTCTTAAAATAAACATACTTGTAGTAAACAAATTAGATTATTTAAAAAAACTTTGCCACAATACTTATTCACAATTATATTTTCTATCCATATTTATTAGTTTGAGCAATTTAAAATGGAAATCCTGCAAATATTATTAGCTTAGATAACAATAATGTTACCTAATACACATAAATATTTGCAAGAAATATCTGGTATTTCACATAGTATCTTTTCTAATGTTTGCATCCAACACCCAAACTAATCACATTTAACTATACAAATGGAAAAATTGGGGTGGTGAGCAGCTGGATAACCCTCTGAGTACCTGTAGTAACTAACTTTTCATATTTCGTTGCTTATCTGGCCTGATTTTTTTTAAATGGGGGAGGACACACCTTAAAATTCGCCGAGTAAAGAAACTCCTGACAAACAGGTAATGATTATAAAAACTTTCAGATAGAGATGAACTTAATTGTATTTAATCCTAAAATTAGTCCTGAGGTATGTTCCCTAGTTTGCTTAGAACTGCGCATGGAAAGTAACTGTTACTCTTTTAGGTGTACAAATGATTGTCTTGAAAAGAAAAATTTTAAGTGTGTTTATAATGTTTGTTTAGAATGATTTTTTTTTTGGTAGAAAACCTTTTAAGCCAGAACAAATTGTGGACAACTATATGTAACTCAGATTCTTAATGTATCATTAAATTTTCAATCATATTAAACAAACTGTTCCCTTTTTCTTAACACAACTCAGCCATGGAGTGAAATATCATAATGAACTAAACCAGCTTAATGCTTATAGTTGCTGATAAAATTTCAAGGGAAAAAGACAATTTGGAAAATAAATAAAACAGAAATCATACTGAATTTCGGATTTTTTTTCCTCTCTAAAAACTGCATTCATAATTAGAAAATTTGAGTCTTACTTTCTTTCCCCCTGAAGTGACTCACACCCTGCTCATAACATACATACTTAATAACTTATGTTTTAGAACAGAAGGTGGTCAGCATGGACACCTGTCCATTCTAGTGTCATTTTAAAATCAAATCAGATACTGCCTTCGGATTAATTAGCTGCTGATGGATGTTTAATGGACGGGATACTGCATGATCTTCTCATGATAAGCCTGACTTCTATATCTGGTAGATTATCCTGCTTAGTCTGTAAACATCCTTCATCAGTGGCAGCTAAATGAAGATCAAATCGAAGAGAAACAGATTTTTTCCTTAATCGAGGGTTATCTTTAAAGAAGGAACCTTCCCATTCTTTAATAACTTCATCCACTTTTTCTGTCCTGAAATGATAAAATGATAAACTTTTCTATATGAAGGAATATGGACATAGTAAAGAATATGTAATATGTATTCCATCTGAAAAAGAAATTAAGAAATTTGTACAATGTGTAATTTACATTATAACTATAATCTAATGTACACATTATAGAGTTTATAGTTTATATACTTTGAAATCATTTGAATGTAATTCCTAAGGGATACTCATGTTTTGATTTTACTTTTAGGGAAATGGTGAATTAAGGATTGAGTACTCCATCAGAGTTTTTGTTTATATATTTATTCATGTCAGATTAAAAAATCACAGTAGATAAAATTCTGTTTGAAAACATTCCACGAAGATTAGTTAGTAAGATAACTTGGTGAGAGTTACTTTCTCTGCACATGCTTCTTATACATCTAGTCAACACCATTTTACTTACTGAATAGTCCCGTGTGCTTCTGTGCTCTCCTTCACGATATTTCCATTTAATATCGCCTGTTTGGTCACTGTCTCCACTTTCTCATTCTCAAACGTTTGTGGGACTTTTGTTGAGAAAGATATTTCATTTATAATGGCTGTGAAAATATTATTTATGAAATACTAAGTTACAGTGTTGAAGTACTAGTACTTCACAGTGATTCTGTCACGTGGTCAAATATTGCTTTGCTTTTGCTTCTACGAGCATTAAATTTGTTTATTTATAACTCCTATCAAGAGCTCCTCACCGTTCAAGCTAGTTTACTCATCAGAAACTCACCTGAAGGTAAAACAAAACCAACCCTACTCGTGGTAGGTTTTCGTTCTTTTTTTGCGCCTTGGATGCAGCCATAATACCTGAGATCAGAAAGAAGTATGTTACAGGAGCAATGTCATATTTGCATATAATTGGAAGCAATGCTCACACTAACAGAATGTGGTGTATGTTATTTAGCATGACTATAAATGAACTTAGGGTACCCTATATCTATAAGGAGGAATTTCTCAAGTATATATGAATGGAAAAAACAAACAAAGCTGTAGCTAAATTTATAAAGGTTAAAGTAATCTGTAAGAACAATTTCCTAATTTGTTTAGGGATACATACATATTAGTATAAAGGAATGTATGAGACTACTAATCATCAAATTCAGGAGCCAGGTTAGAGTGGGGGAGGAGGATTGATATAGGGAGGTGGTTGTGGTTTAGGGTGTAGGGGAGGACTGCAATAACATGTAAATAATTTCTTGAGGTGCTACATTGGAGTCCACTATATTTTGATATGTTCTCATTTATTTTAAAAATAGAATAATAAATACAAAAGTATAGGAATATTAAAGACCAAAATTAAAATCTCAGAGGTTTAGGAATTAAATACAATTCATAAGCATTTAAAAATAAGTAAATCATATATCTGAATAGTGTATTTGAAATCACATATTTGAATTGTATATTTGAGTAAGAAATGTATAATTTCATACATCTATATTTACTGTTATATATAATTCTGTGTAAAGCAATTCACAAATTACTTATTTTAATCAAGGATCCTGTCAGGTAGGTATTAGTATTTCTACTTTATAGAGGAGAAAACTGAGGCACAGAGAGGGTCAATAACTTGGCTGACATCACTCATCTAGAAACTGTACTCCGAATTCATTTTATGTTTTCAACTATTTAGTAAATGTCAAGACAACATAGGCTGTAGTTGTTACATCTAGTTTTAGAGAGGACTCAGAGTTGAAGCAAGCAAGAATCAAGATTTCTTTTTATGGGACCATGGATAATTGGAAATTGCCCTATAGTCAAAACCATGTGAATTGTAAAAGATTTAGAGAGAACTGGTGTGAATAAAGCTTTTTGGTACTTTTTATTATCAGGACACCTGGACCTCTTCTAAGTCAGGCACTCAGAACAGCATTGTTTACTGTTGCTGTAAGATAATCACAGCATTATCATTATTACGATTATGCACTTGACTTGTGGTGGGACTGGGCCCTTGGGGGCATGTGGTATGTGGTATTTGGATTTAAATAGGTGCAGAATATGTGATTCTTCCAAACTTCTTTTGGGGGTGGTTCATAGAACTAATTCTAAAAGAGATGAATAACAAGGAAAGTGAGAATCAGATAAGAAAGCAATTTTTTTTTTTAGTGATTGAGAGTTTGGTTACATTTTCTAGGGATGATGCTTTTCTGTAGCTAGTGTCCCCAACGTTGGCTATTTTGTCCCTACTTTTGAGTGGCTGGAAGTAGTCCCGCATATTCCTTGCAGGTGGCTAACCTCATTTTATAGTAGGGGTCCAGCACGCCATGGTGACAATGGGCTTTTAGATTTAATTTCTCTGATGACATCAACAGTGGTATATGTGACCCTTTATTTCTTGCCATTTGTCATCAACTATATGGAATTAGGTACCTGATCTCTTCCTTTTCTAGGAGCCGGCGATAAGTCTCTATTTCTTGTTCTAGTCTCATCTTTGTGTTGAGCAACATCTCATGTTCTTGAAGCTGTTTTTCGATGCCTCGTCTTACTTCCTGTAGCTCCTTTTCTAAGCCTTCGATCACTGCCTCGAGGTCTTGCAGCTGCATCTGGTAATGTTGCTCACTGGCATGGAGGGAATTTTCAAGACCCCTTTCCTGTTTGAGATAGATCTTCATCAGTGAAGGAGGGAAACAAATGGGTTTCAAAAACCTGATATGCAATGTCGGCATTTTATCCCATTTTCTTCTTCTTTCTTTTTTTTTTAAAGATTTATTTATTTGTGCATATAGAACTGGGGTACAGGCCAGAGGCTCAAGGGCGGTGAGAGGCTTCACCAGAGACAG